AAAAGCTCAGAAAAGAAACAGCTCTACATGGAGAGCTGCTGGGAAATCGCAGCCACAGACTGAAATCATATGGGACCTGCAGCTCAAAATGAGGTTCATGAAAAGAGAGAACGAGGATCTTCACAAGGAACTGGAGACCATTAAGTCAGTCACAGCAAGAGCCCAGGCTTCTCATCAAGCGCAGCTCAAGAAAGACACAGGCGTTCTAGAAAATGAACGCCTGTGTTTCCATGAGGAGAAAACCTCCCTGCTGGAGGAGCTTAACGCTTTAAAAAATGAGAACAACAACCTCCTTGCAGCAATGGAGAAAACTCGAGAAGAGCTCCAAAATGGCCGCCAACAATGGTAGACAGAGAAATTCTCCCTCACGGAAGAGTTGAGGAAATATAAAGCTTCCAATGTGTCTGATCTTAACAAGATGGCAGCTGATTTAAAGAAGGCACAAGAGCTGGCAAAGACCGTATATGTCCAGTGGCAGGAAGACAGGTTTTTGTTCCAGGCAGAACATGAAAAGGCTCAGAGCTGCAGTCCTGCCCAACTTGTGGTTTTTAAAAAATGCTGAGCTCACATTTTAGGGCTGCTCTAACAACAGCCAATGAGCAAATGGAGAATGAACGCCTTCAGTGGCGACAAGAGAAATCCTCCCTGCTGCAGGAGATGGAGAAATCCAGAGCTTCCAGTGTGGCTCAGCTTAATCAGATGGAAGCTGATTTAAAGGACGCACAAGAGCTGATGAGGACTTTACATCTCCAGTGGCAAGAGGACAAGTTTTCCCTCCAGGCAGAACTGGAACAGTCTCAGAGCTGCAGCCCTGCCCAACGTCATGAGGTTAATTATCTTAGAACTTGCCTGAAAGGTGCAGAGCAGCAGCTGGATAAAGAACGCCTCCAGTGGCAGCAGGAGAAATCCTCCCTGCTGCAGACAATGGAGCAATCCAGAGCTTTCAGTCTTGCCCATCTGGACATGCAAGCAAAGAAGAGCCACACATTTAAAGCTGCTTTAAAGACAATCAATGAACAGCTAGACAAGCAACACCTTGAAAGGCAGAAGGAGAAAACCATTCTGCTGGACCTGCAAGCCAAACTCAAGCTCCTCAAGGGAGAGAAAGAGTTCCTTCAAAAGGAACTGAAGGCAAAACAGCAGGAGTGCTCTATGAAGGGCCAGCTAGAAGAGCACCACCGCTTGCTGCAGGAAAAAGAGCAGGAGCAGGAGACTGTGAGCATCCAGGATCTGCAAGTCAGACTCAAGTTCCTCAAGGGAGAGAAAGAGTTCTTTTAAAAGGAACTGGAGGCAAAGATGTTAGCCACCAGAAGTGCCCGGGCCTCCCAGAAAGCCCAGCTGGAGAAACACAGAGTGGACACCAAAAGGATCGGTGCTGTCCTCAGAAAGGCAGAAGTGCTGGAGACGGAGCACAGCCGCTTGCTGGAAGGGAACAACTCCCTGGTGGAGGAAATGGAAAAATCCAGAGCCTCCTATGAGGTTGAGATTAGCAGTTTAAAACAGGAGAATAACCAGCTGGCGGCTGCTGTGAAGGATGCAGAGAGGCAGATGAGGACTAATCATCTCCAGTGGCTCAATGAGAAAGTTTCCCTCCTGGAGAAACTAGAAAGATCCCAGAACAGCATTCACAACTTGAAACTGAAATTCCAGGAAGAAAAAGAGGCCCTTCAAATTGTGGAAAAACAGCACCACTGCTTGCTGCAGCAAAAACAGCAGGAGTGGGAGTCGACAGAGTGCTGTATGAAGGGTGAGCTGGAAGAGATCAAGAACCAGCTTTCTCAAAAGACAAAAGCTCCCAGAAAGCCCAGCTGGAGAGAAACACAGAGTGGAGACCAAATGGATTGGCGCTCAGAAAGGCAGAAGCTCTGCAAACAGAGCACGGCCACTTGCTGGCACAGTGGTTAGCACTGTTGCCTCACAGCAAGAAGGTTCCTGGTTTGGGACCTTTCTGTGCGGAGTGTGCATGTTCTCCCCTGTGCTTGCTTGGGGTCTCTCCAGGTGCTCTGGCTTCATCCCACAGTCCAAAGACATGCAGGTTAGGTTGATTGGCCACTCTAAATGGCTCACATTAGTGCATGTATATATATATGTATATATATATCCCAATTTGAGTCGTGCCAGTTGATTCGATGTGGCGACCCCTAATAAGACATCTGTTGCTGATCTGAATCAGTGGGGCCAGCTGAAACATCTTCATCCACACAGACTGTAACCCTGTCATCTCATTTTGTTCAGTCATTTCTCTTCTTTTGTGCAATAAAAAAACAACAACATTTAAATAATGTATTATTTGGTCTGTTATTGATAAGAATTTAGGTTGCACTATAGTAATAAGTGTTTTGAGTTTGCTTTAGAAACTTATTGTAAGCTGTCACAGAGTGGCATAGCTTTAATCAACCCTTTGATTAACCGTTTAATCCCATTTGTAATATACAAGTATTCCATCACCACTCAGGCGACCGGACTTGGATGTCGGTTCACATATTTTTTGTGTATCATTGGTCATCAAAAGAAACATATAAAACAACTGAATAAAACAAGTTTGAGTTCAGCAGTGTCTCTATATTTTTGTCCTCCCCAACTACTTACATAAGAGGGTCAGAATATTAGGAACACCTTTGAATAAAATGTAGTCCAGTACAGCCCTATCTTTAACTATGACCTCAAAAATAAACACATAATTGAATTTATACATTTACAACAATTTCACCAAAAAACTGAAACATTCTGAGTTTCATAAACACAGACGTTCAGGCGGAAGTGTTGCGCTGCAGTGCACACAGTTGTACAGGTGTACCTAATAAAGTGGTCGGTAAGTTTATGTTATCATGTGAGCTATATATACAATTTAAACAAGAATTTAAGTTAGGAAAGTATCTACAATGTGGAAGCCATGTGTATGGACAAGTCATCTGTAATATGAGGCTGAATAATACTAGAATCCCTTAAGGTGGTTGGATGATATAAAGGTTTGGATAGAAACCAGAGGTTTTGTATCCTCTATGATGAAATGTGTGGAAATGCATGTTGTGATGTGCCCGGGGACTTTTACCCCAGGGACAGTTCTTGGACTTGACAGGAGACACAGCAGTGTGCTCTGAGCCTGGTTCTGACTGCACAGAGACGCTCGTTTGTCCAGGTAACTTCTTGTTTTACGGCCAGTCTTCTCATTTAATTAGTATTTAGCCCTTTCTGTGTTTCCTTTCACAAAATAATGCCTTTCATTCTTGTTTTTAGTTTTCTTTGTTTAGTTTTTTCGGTAACACTTTACATTAATGTTAATTAAAGTATTAACTCATACATTATCATAGTTTTTAATGACACTGCTTACATTAGTTGATACAATAATAATACAATAATCTTTTTAAAAAATATTTTTAACGACTTTGAAGAAGCAGTCCGTGCCTTCATTAGCTCTAGGTTTGATTATTGCAATGCTCTGTTTCCTGGTATCCTCTCTGTACTTTTGTCTTGCCAGGTGCTCACAAATGGAAGCATAAAACTCTGATTTTAGCCTCACTCCACCTTTTTAAAATATTATTTGTTTTGAAGGCTCTTCTTGACCTGGCCAGTATGTTTGTGAGGTTAGTTCACTTTGTCTAGAGCTACATAATGGCAGTTATTATAAATGAAGTGCCTTACTTAAAGAATTTTGTGAAATGTCATTCACACTGTTAGTGTCAAGTGTGATATCCTCTCTGTACTTTTGTCTTGCCAGGTGCTCACAAATGGAAGCATAAAACTCTGATTTTAGCCTCACTCCACCTTTTTAAAATATTATTTGTTTTGAAGGCTCTTCTCTTTAGGTGTATTACTGCCATTACAGAGAAACTATAAGGCAGTACTGTATATGTGGGGTAGAGATAATGAATAATAGGTGAGTGGCATTAGCCAGGTGATCTGCATTAGTCAATGACTGGCAGAAGTGAAGTTGGAGGGAATGAGATGGTGAAAACCCAGTTTTTTCACAATAAGAGTCTCTGGCAGGAAATGATGGGTGAAACATGACAACTGGAGCAACAAAAGGCTGTATAAAACTTTTTTTCTTCAGCTTCTAGGCCAGGCTTTAGTTTTAGCTTGTAGGGCTTTAAAAACAAATATTATAAAGACAGCAAAACTAAATCAATATTCATATCCACTCTAGAAACAGCTGGATTCTGTCAAAAATCAGATATGACAGGTATAACAAAGTTGAACATTATTATTATTATTTAAGATCCAGTGAGACAGACACCCTGAAATCCAGGGCTGAATTATTTAAATGATGTAATACACTAAAAGGGCTTGTAATGCTTCTGTCTGTTTCACCATGTTGTTGTGTTTGTATTTCCCTAAACGCCTGAAGATTTGACCACTTTTTTGATTGAGGTATCAAGAATAAAGCCAACTGAATACGGCGTCAATGAAGTACTCATTAAAAGTTACACTTTAGCCATGGATTTACACTGCAATATAAGAAGGGAGCTTTCTGTCACATTTTCAGTGCCTTTAAGACAGTGTAGTGTCACTTAAAGGGGAATTCCATCGGTTTTACACAACAAAGTCTGCTCTTTCTGAGCACTGCTATGTACTGTCCTACCACTATCCTAAGAGAAGAGTTTCCTTTGTCATCTATGGAGTCTTGAGTTTCTTTACCCCAAAATATTTTTGTCAGAATCCAGCTGTTTCTAGAGTGGATATGAACATTGATTTAGTTTTGCTGTCTTTATAATATTTGTTTTTAAAGCCCTACAAGCTAAAACTAAAGCCTGGCCTAGAAGCTGAAGAAAAAAAGTTTTATACAGCCTTTTGTTGCTCCAGTTGTCATGTTTCACCCATCATTTCCTGCCAGAGACTCTTATTGTGAAAAAACTGGGTTTTCACCATCTCATTCCCTCCAACTTCACTTCTGCCAGTCATTGACTAATGCAGATCACCTGGCTAATGCCACTCACCTATTATTCATTATCTCTACCCCACATATACAGTACTGCCTTATAGTTTCTCTGTAATGGCAGTAATACACCTAAAGATGTTTGTCAACTGCTATTAAATCATGTAGTAGTAGTTGTTCCGCTGTAGGTGCTGGCTTGTCGTTAGTGCTGCGCTTTGCCTTTGAGCTGCTGTCCGTTAACAGACCTGTGTTTTAGTTGTTTGTACACTGCTACCAAGCCAGTTACCTGCCCGCCTTTAGTTCCCTTCTGTAAGGACTTTCCTGCCGTGTTCCTGAGCCTGTACCGAGGCTGCCTGTTGTTGACCTGGTTCCTGTCTTGACCTCTGCTGAGGAGTTGGCCAGTTTGCATGTGTGGACATTGTTTTGTGCTGCCAAATGTTGCTCTTGCCTCTGCCTTTTGTGTTTTTGTTGCAGTGGCCCCCTTTGTTTTTTGAACTTGGTGGATATTATGCTAGTATGCACACTGAAGTAGTTCAGTTGTCATTGTCTAGTTGTTTTTGTCCTCGTAGTACAGGAGTGATTTTTCTCTTTCCCAGAGTGGCATGACATAGCTTCTCAGTTTTCTTTTCTCAGTGTTTTTTTCCTTCTTGCGTTTCCCTGCTACCTGTGCTGCTCTCCCTCTTTTCCTGAGGCCACTGGTTCTTCTCCTAGGACCCCCTCTAATGGTGATGACTGAATTGCACATTTCAACTGAAATCTAAATGTGATTAAGGCCTCTATTAGGTGAACCTTTAATGTAACCAACATCTTTTACACATCAGTTTTTCAGGTTCTTGCAGCTTAAGCTCTGTTAAAATAAACTGCAGGCTGGTGATCCATTTAGTTCTGTTAGATTCATTTGATTATTTTTAACAGCTAAAAACACTGGCATTGACTGTGACATGAAAACGAAGCAACAGGGTGCTCACAAGAAACAGAACCGTCATGCTCACTCTACTTTGCTTGCATGGTATTTTTCATAAACAGTCAGTTCATGTGGTGCAGAGAGGGAGAAGCAGTTCAGACAGTAAATGCTCTTGGTGCTGTTGCCAGTTTTATTAGTGTTGATATAATGGCTGCAGAAGCCGAGACAGAGTGTCAAAAGAACGTTACTTGTGACATATTCATGCAGTCACTTTTACCTAACCTAGGACTTAGGGCTGAGGAAATGCAAAGCTTCGGGGATCCTTCAGTGGTGGATGAATGGCTGGAATTTTGTCTGTTCTTTGTTCTAAACACACATGAGAATGCATGATTAACCCTTAATGCCCTTTAGCCCTTAGGTAAATTTCCCAATTTACAGCCAATGTGTTTGTTGTTCATTATTCTTGATGATACTGGGCTGAATGAATATTGCACTTAGAAGTGCAGAGCACACAAGAAGTGAGACACACTACCTCCTACCAAAGTCGGTGGCTTGCTACTAGACAAACACATGCCATTTATTTTTGACCAACTGTTCTTTTGAAGCACAGCAGTGAAGACGCCTGCATGATGCATCCTTATAGCATTTTCATAAAGTACCATATCAAAAGGCTTTTCTGCTGCGTTTGGTCTGCAGGCAGTAGAGCAGAGAATGCAGAGGAGCGGCTGGTGAACTACCTGCTGGGGCCAGAGCGCTACAATAAACTGATCAGACCAGCTGTCAATAAGAGCCAGCAGGTCACTGTCTCCATACAGGTGTCTCTGTCTCAGCTCATCAGCGTAGTGAGTATACACATGGACTATATGTGCACGAAAGTATCAGAATCTTTAGGGCTTGGACACCAGGAATGTTAAGTGAGATCTCCATTCCTATGACCCTTTTATTTGATTTGACTGATGGAGACAAACCCATTGCAAAAAAGTTAAGATTAAATGGTTTGTTAGCACATATAATGATCAGGATCCAGCTTTAATATCTCTGCAGGGTCACAGCATATCACCTCAGCAGAACCTCTTCCCATATCCAGCACAACTAGGGACATTCATTACTATGTTTTGTTTTGTCACCTGGTTCCAACATCATGTAAACCTTTTGGTAATTCTGGTGCAGTCTGCTTTGTAGTTTACATGCAGGCTGTCTGCATTTTTCTACAAAATGTCATCATAGCAGTGTATAAACACATAGCTAACTTTGGTACAGTGGTCGTCATTAAGCTAGCGGAGACACTACACCACATTCAAATCTAATGGAAAGGATGGCAGAGATGGCAAAGACTCTCCTACTCTATCAGTGATATCAAGACTCCCATATTTGCTTGCTATATTTATAACAAATCTAAGTTGGGGTGAATTACTGTGATTGATGGAATGTAGCTTGTTTGCTTTTCAGAAACTTTATTAGATTCTCAGAACATATGTGGCTGTGAGCAGGTTGTGCCTAAATGTCACCTCAGTCACAGGCTTGTTTTGTTGAACCTGTTAGGATCATTTGTACACAACACCGGGACTCTAAAACTGAAGCAGCCAAATGAAATTCAGCCATCAATAATTTTATCATTTACACTTGTACTTTTCTTAATGTGACATGTCAGTGTGTTCTATGAAAATGTTTTTATTTAACCTGACTGCAAGTCTGACCAGACATTTGTGCAACACCTGTGTGGGTGTGCGGGGCTTTGAATATAATATATATGCAGTCTTCTATCTCCTGCTATATAATGAAAGTCTTGTTTGAAAGAATCTAATTGATTTACTTAAGATTTTATAGTTAACAGTGTGGTAACTTTATAACTGCTTCACTGCAGTAACTTGGCCTGGTCCTCCTCAAATTAAACTTTTATAAATCAGCTACATAAATATAACAACACTGAATAAATATTATATTAATATGTGTTACAAAAAATACTTAATGCATTTCACTGCCAAAGACATGCATGGTAGATTAAGTGGAAACTTTAAATTGCTTGTGGTGTAAATGAGTTTGAATCTATTTGCCTGTATGTGTGAGTTAGCCCTGTGATAGACAGGTGACCTGTCCTGGGACAACACCAACTTGTTAGTTCCTATAGGTTTATTTAGTCACATTACTTATAGCATTACTTTTCATTATTCAGCCAAAGTCTGCCATGAGTGCACGTGCTCCAGCTGCGTACAAATGCCTTCCAGCTCAGATCGAAATCAGATTATTATTATTATTGCAGGCTTGCAAATTAGCAAAAGACACAACATGTACAGTAAATAATAGCAGGTAGCCACCAGGCTAGTATGTCCGCTGAACACTGATAGATGGAATTAATATCAACCCTCCCGTCCTCATCCCAGCAGGACAGCTAGCAGATCCCTAGAATATCAAGCCAATGTAGCATCACTGGGAGTAGTAGGTGCTGTGAAGTTAGTGCTTCCCAAAAGACACTTTATACTGCAGCCATATCAAAATTTGTTTCATTTCATTGAGGTGATGCTTATCCTCCTATCACTACCAGATAAGACTGACTCCTCATGCAGCATTCAATTTGATATTAAACTGGAAGTTCATAATTTTTTTAACCACACACAAAACATGGGGTAAACAAAATCCCTACTCAGTTCAGCTCAGTAATAAATTTGGAGACATTTGTGAAAGTGCTGGAAAGTACTTTGCCCTAAATGTATGCTTTGACATTCTGGCCTTCAATGTGTCATTAGTGTCGTCCTAAAGCTACAACTAGTAGACAACATCAATACAGAAGTAAATGAAATATTATGTAAGTGATGTTCAGTGTGTAACAAGATGACTTTATTTTCTTGCAGAATGAGAGAGAACAAATAATGACAACCAACGTGTGGCTGTGTCAGGTATATACTCAATGCACGTACACACAGTATGTGTGCAATAGGTTGGTGTGTAAAGCAGTCTGTGGACACTCTACAGGAGTGGAATGACCATAGGCTGAGATGGGACCCTGAAAAGTATGAAGGTATCAAGAAACTACGAATACCATCCAAACACATCTGGCTCCCTGATATAGTGCTCTACAACAAGTAAGTAGGTGCATGTCACCCCGGCTCAAATTAAAGGGGTTGCTGTATATTGTTCAACAGTATTGAGGGTTTCCAGCATTTCCCCCAGACTTTACAAGCAGAAAATCTATTGCTAAAATCACTATTTATTTCTAGCAGGATTTTGTAATTAAAATGTTGGGCATTGTGGTGTTTAATTTTGTCAAACATGCATGTGCTGTGGTATAGGGAATTAGATATTAACCTGCATTTATTTTCACTTCAGCCAAACATGAGGGAGAGATTCTGGGTTTGTCTTATCATTGCAAAACAAACAACAACAACATGGTTAACTAATTTCAGATGTATCTTATTTAATAGCTTGACATTTTGGATAATAGTTTTTCATCTTTCTGAGATGTTCTTGTCCAAGTCGGTAGGAAAGTGAATAAATGCATTTTTCAAAATAATGAATCATTCATTGAAACACTGATTTGTATTATGAGGAAGGGATGGTCAGAGCCATGGTGGGGGAATATGATCACTCAGCATATTAGAGGTCATTTGGTCTTGATTTCCATGCCCTCTTCTACCTCTGAATCCACACACTATTTAATCTTATATTGCTCCAAACCTCTAACAGCGCTGATGGTGTCTACGAGGTTTCCTTCTATTGCAACGTTGTGGTCTCCAACACAGGGGACATCTTCTGGCTCCCTCCGGCCATCTACAAGTCAGCCTGTGCCATCGAGGTGCAGAACTTCCCCTTCGACCAGCAGAACTGCACTCTCAGGTTTCGTTCCTGGACCTATGACCACACAGAAGTGGACCTCATCCCCACCAGTGACTTTGCAAGCCGTGATGACTTCACACCCAGTGGAGAGTGGGACATCGTTTCTCTGCCGGCACGCAAAAACGAGGACCCCAGCGATATCACCTACCTGGATATCACCTATGATTTTGTGATCAAGAGGAAACCGCTGTTTTACACCATTAATCTGATCATCCCGTGCGTGCTGATCACATCGCTGGCTATTTTGGTGTTCTACCTGCCATCAGACTGTGGGGAGAAGATGACACTGTGCATTTCAGTGCTGCTGGCGCTCACCGTGTTCCTGCTGCTGATATCAAAGATAGTGCCGCCCACTTCTCTAGCAGTGCCACTTATAGGTCAGTCCTGATTATGTTTGTCTGTGTGTAATTGTCCTGATAAAGCTCTTACTCGGCAAGTAGGCTAGCAGACAAGTAACTTTGACTCTTCTCAAACTGCAATCAATTCATGAGGTTGACAAACTTTTAAACTACATCTATGTTTTTACATAGTGTAGATTATTGGTGTTAAATAGTTTATTTTCAGGTGAAAGGAACCAAAAAATACTTGGCATAGACACTAAAGTCAAATCATTACTGCATGAGCAAAAAGTGCTAATACAGCTGCAAAATATAAAACACAAATATGTCAAGTCAATAGAGGCCAGGCTCAGTATTTACTGAACCTGTACATAGAACCAGAAGAGCTTATGTTATTCCTGATTTCCCCTGAATTAAAATAATTGAGCATGATGTCCCTCAGGCTGCTTGCAGGTCAATGTGTCCTCCATTTTTACTTGTCTTGATAAATTCAGGTCACTGCACTAACTTCATCAGTACTACAACACAGTCATGCCAGACTTGCCATTGTGTTGCTTGTTTTTCTAAAAGAAAACTATTTGGAAATGCTTTTGCTTAATAAGTGAAAATTATTCCTGTTAAAAGTAGATCCATAATTTTTTTTGTCACTTTCCCTAAGGTAAATACTTGATGTTCACCATGGTGTTGGTCACTTTCTCCATTGTAAGCAACGTCTGCGTCCTCAACGTGCACCACCGCTCCCCTTCCACCCACCACATGCCGAACTGGGTCAAACGTCTCTTCTTAGTCCACCTCCCAACCTTTCTCCTCATGAGGCACCCAGGCTCATCTAATGCCGACCGAAGCGGCACCAGGAAAAACATTTCCCAGAGTGGCACAGAGAAGAGGCAGTATTCCAATATTAGACTCAGTGGGATCCGGACAGACACCGTCTACGTCAACGAGGAATTGGCCCACAAGTTTTGCTGGAAGGTGGGTGACATTCCGGATGGGAGTGATGGGTTTTCAGACTTCCAAAGACCTTCGGCTGTTCGGTGGGACATGGATTTGGTGGAAGCAGTAAATGGAGTGAGACACATTGCTGAACATATGAAGACTGAAGATGGCGATGAAGGGGTGAGAACATAAAGACACTTAAAATGTGTGATGAGCAGAAAAAGGTAGTATCAAATGATTAAAAATAAAACAGAATTACCGACTGGAATGAGGGAAGACACAAAAGCAGATTATGGAGATGGATGATGATGATGAGGAGGAGGTACGTGTGATAACATGGAACATCTTAAATAATTCAGTATTTGCTTATGTCCTCCGGTGAGATTATTCCAACCTGTGTGTGATCTGTTGCTCTTTTGAAAACATCAGGTGTTCTTAGAAAATGCAAACTAATGCAAACACAAACTGACTAAACTCAGCACTAAACCAGGGCTTCTGCACTTCCACAAAACACCCACACTTTAAAACATATTCTAAACTAGATTTCCAGCTGTAATTGCTCGTGGCAGATTGTTCATCAAGCTGCCTCTGTGTCAACCGCCTGCAGTGCAGTTAAAATTATACCCAAATATGTATTTGTTGTCCTAGAAGCTTCATAGCAACAGCAGCAGTTAATAAAACTTCTGGCACTTAAAACCCCCCAGAGGTTTGTTCTTTAGAGCAGGAAAGGAAGAACATAAATGGTTCCTCATAGATCTGTTCTAACACGTGCTTTATTATGATCTGATTTAGCTTAACACCCTGTCATAGTCAACTTGCTGGTTTGGTTTCAGGTCATAGAAGACTGGAAGTATGTAGCCATGGTGATCGATCGTCTGTTCCTGTGGATTTTCATCCTGGTGTGTGTGGTGGGAACACTGGGGCTCTTCATGCAGCCGCTGTTCCAAAGCTATACCACACCCACTGCTGATGACACTGAGTGAGTCGCATACTGAAGCAAATGATTACATATGTACATCACAGTGTGTTGGTATAGACTGTTATTTAAATTGTTTGAAGCTTGGATAAAAGAAACTGTTGCAGACATTTAACTTAGTGTATTTAGGTAAACACTGTTTCATGACTTATTTCCATTGTGGCCCGACTTGGCAAATGAATTGAACCTATCCACATTTTAGAGTGGCAACATACAAAAGTGTGACAAAGTCACGGTACCTGTTTGGCTGTTGTCAGTATACAGGACTGGTGATGAATTAAATGGGATTTGTCTGCTCAAAATATCATCTCAGGTCAGTTAGCAGTCACTGATGTTTGAGCCTAAGACTACATAGTTGTGCGGTTGTTTCACAGTTATAATTTTAACAGTGCTCAGTGGGAAGTTCCAACTGTGAAGCAATAAGAGAAAATTCAGCCTTAACAGGAGCTAAACAGCATCTAGCAGAACAGATGAGAAGACACTGTGTTCTGTCTGTAATAACTTTGCCTGATTTTCTAAGGTTTTGCATATGTTTGGTCAGAATGCTCCAAAAAAAAAAAAAGGTAAAGAAATGGAGAAGACCAGCGATCTTCTGTTCATGCTAATTACTTAAACATTTCTTTTTACAAAAATCAACTGCTGAAAGACCAACATGAATCTAATATATAAAATAGTGAATGAACATGTTTTCTAATTATAGACCTATCTCTTTTCAAAGATAGTGGAGAAGTTATTTGTTAAAAGATTAAATAAGCATAGCATTCATATTAACAATCAGTATGGATTTAGAGCAAATGATTCCACACGGTTAGTAATTCTAGTTTATTTCGAAGACTGAGCTGAATATTTGTGGATGCCTACAGTAAAGCAAGGTATTTAGGCCACTGCATTTAAAACTGCTTATAAAGGTGTCAGACTACCATAGCAAATGCATTTATATGAAAATGTTGCAGTATACATAATGTTTATTTGTTTACTGTTGTGTTTTTCTTTCTGTAGGTTTGGGTAATTTTAGGAGTTCTTTGAAATCAGACAGGAAACTGTGGAAAATGTGTCTCTCACAGACACTTTAACAAGCAGTGGCAGGTCTGGCTCTGTTCTATCTCTGCTGGATGGACGTGGCTGACAACCAGCCTAATCAGTGGACTTATAACAAAACTTTTTTTTAACTCTATCCACACTCCACCATCATCACAGGCGTGACAACGGGATGTACTTTTTACAACTCAAAATTTGTGAAATTTAGTCAAGATGGCAAGAATAGTGTCCAGGTACAGTTTTTCTTTCACACAGCATCCAGAAGAGTTGCAGACTGTTACTCACTGTCTTTAACTTTCACATTGTAAAGAACAACCAAGAACCACAAAACTGGTGAAAAATACTGGTAATTTATTTCCTTTTATAAAAATATTACTGCACCACCTCTCTCTGACTGGTTTCCTTGTTCTGCTTCAGAGCCCTGTGCCCCATCTCCACCATCCATTTCCCAAGCAGTGTTGCAGCCTTTGCTGTATTGTCTTACTCTGAAGATTTTGTATTCTGCTCTTCTTTTCTCTTTACTTCTGCTTCTCATTTGCTTGGTTATTCTCATTTTTATTCCTGTTTGTGCCACAGTATCACAAGTCCTGTTAGAAAATCTCAAGAATGCTTAAAGAAAGCTTAATGATGACAAGCACATAAATGTGGAAAGAAGCCTTGAAAAGACACTTTTTAAAAATCTAACTGTGCAGTATAGACACACACAATTTAATTATTCATCACTATATGAAAAGATGAACTGCACTTTCATTTATACTTCTCTGCCCAACAGCTCATTCCATCCCTCACTTTCACAACTGCCTTAAACTGTTGTTGAATATTCTGATGTCTGACTATTCAAGACATAAGCAAACTGTAGCAGCATATTATAACAATTTGTACTGCACGTTGAATAAAAAGCAGTGACGTTTGGTCAGTTTTGGCATTGTGACATGTTACTGTAGGAAAGTCACGGGAAAATAATATTAACCATGGATGAATTCCAGTTCACTGCTACAATTTCAGGTTCTTGATGTACTGCTTAACATTTTCACAACCTGTAGGCTCGTCATCCCTGCCCCTTCTTTTATCTCTGGAGTTTTCTCAGGTTCTTACTGAAAGTTGCTCTCAGCAGCTTTGTGAAAAGGCCCTAAGAGGCAGCTATACTTGGTGAGTAATTCATACGTTGAAGAAAGTGATGCTGTGAAACAACCACCTTTCCCTATGGTTAGGTGAATTATTTAATGTGTCAGAGTAAAGAAAAGAGAATTAATTCAGTTACAGTACATATAGGCCAAAAGTCAGTGAAGCAGTGTTGCCTGTGAAGCAAGAGTTTCACCTAAGTTAAAGACTTGAATCACCAGGGCAATAAAACAAAGGTAAAAAATTGACAGGAGCAGCACTTTATACATCTCTAGTGTCTCATCTGGGTGACCTCAGAAACTTCTGAACTTTTACCAAACCTGTTTTCTTTATGTGTTGATCAAACAGCTCAGGAGACAGCACTTAAGCAGCTGTGTGTGGTTTGTGTGTGAGGTCTTGTCTGTGTGTACGTTTAAGTGCTGCTCTACCTGAGTAATACATATTCAGACAACATGCATTTGTCCTATTTAAAATGTAATTACTGTGTTTGTCACTATTATTAGTGAGATAAAATGAACTAAAGTGACAATTTATGGAGACCATTTGTTCTGTGTGCACACACTTATGCACTTCAGTTAAAACCCTTTGAAGCCTTAGCTCTGTCTATGAACCTGTCTGAAGTGGGAAAACGTTTGAATCCACTTGCAAGGTCACATCCTGTTAATGGACCTTCTGGTTTTTGTGTTTCTGTGTGTGAGAGAGCCTCTTTCCTCAGTCTGATAAAAGGGGAAATGTGCTTGGCAGCACTAATGTGCTTTCATTCCCTTGAGTCTAAGTGTGTGTGGCCTTGTTTATGTATACTTGTGGTGACAACATTGCTTTGCAAGGACTGGAAATCACTGGTAGAGACCAGAGGCTGGGCCCCACAACTAATTTGTTGAATTTTACTAAAATGATGAGGTGTGAGGTTAAAGCAAGGGTCGGCTTTGCTTAAGGATAGGGTAAGTCTCCTGGAAATGAATGTCTATTTAGGGACCCTGTAAGTGACGACCACAAGAACGCGTGTGTGTGTCTGCGCGCGTGTGGTGCCCAAACTCCATCTACAAACATAAAGGTGATATCAGGTGAAAATGACATCACCTTCCAGCTGCCAGCAGCCGCTTAAGACACAGCACACTATTATATTATTTTATGTGCAGTGCATGAATGAACACACACACACACACACACATAATAGACTATGATCAGATATAGCTGGCCCAAATCCTTTATCTCAACAAAAGTGAAGCAATGATTCCTGAAGTCAGGATATCATCAAAAATAACATGAGCCTCCACTGGTGAGAAACTATCGACAAAACACATATTTACTGTGCCACCATGTGTGTGTGTGTGTGTGTGTGTGCGTGTGTGATATTTACCACATTCCCCACACTATCAACATGAGGTGATAGTGTGGGGAATGTGACAGATGTGATGTTGGCGTGTCTGGGTGAACAGCAGAAGAGGACAGGAGCAGACCAGTTGTTGTATTGTAGAATCAGGCTGTTGTTATTTAGTGGTGCTCTATGCAACGTAGCTAACATATCAGAAACACACTAAGGGATTGTTTCAAAAACCTGGGGTATTAAAATCAAATCAAATCAAATCAAATTTTATTTGTATAGCGCCAAATCACAACAAAAGTCATCTCAGGACACTTTACAAAGTAAGGTCTAGACCTTACTGTTATCAATATTATTACATAGGGAAAACCCAACAAATCCCCCTTGAGCAAGCACTTGGCGACAGTGGGGAGGAAAAACTCCCTTTAAAGGAAGAAACCTCCGACAGACCCCGGCTCTTGGTGGGCGGCCTTCTGCCTCGACCGGTTGGGGTGAGTGGATAGAGGAGAGACAAAAGAAGAAAAGCAACAAGACACAACAATCAAACACTGATCAGGTCGATGTGGCTGGTGACTGCTCGTCAGAGATGTAGAGCTCCAGGGCCAGGGCTACCTGCAGAAAGGTACAGGGAGAGAGAGAGAGGACACACTACGGGAGAAAGGAGACACAAAGTTAGTAATGTGTAATAGTGGCAAGCTAGTGGCAGAGGTGCATGCGCAGACAACTGGAGTTATGACCTGGTCTGAACAGCCAGATTTTAAATCAT